GCCCAAGCACGGTCCCCACCCTGCCCCCCCCCCCCCAGCCACAGGTATGCTTCTGGGTAGACTCTCCCAAAACATCTAAACCCTTTCTGCCCGCTCATTTTAATTGCAATTTTTTTTCCTTCTCTTCTTCTGCAGAATGTCCATGCCGTGAGTGGCCGAACGCATTGCTGCTGGAACAACGCTGTAGTCAAAGGGGTGAGATTCAAGCGGTCTGCGCTGCAGTCATGACAGAGATTGGGTGGTTGGCTTGAGCCGTGGATTCACTGTTTAGATAGAAGGATCTGGGAATATGTCCTTTCTGAGAGAGGAGACGTGTCTGAAGGGACGCTCCTGCCCATTGTCCTGTTCTAAATGCAGCTTTTTGAAGCAGAACTTCTTTTTTCATCTCTGTTTTTCCTTGGAATTTCAAATCAGTGTTGACCTTCCAATTCAGCTTTGCTTTTGGGCTCCTACAGCCAAAAGCTTCCCCATGCCTTTGGCAGGCTCTTTACCTTTTTATATTCAGATTATTTTTTTTTTCTCAAAGTCATCTCCCTTCTTCCCTGCCTTCCAAAACACTGAAAGCCAGCAGATGCAAATACAAGAACGACACTACACCAAACCCCGCGCACCCTTTTGGGAATCCGACCAGTAATCAAAATGTTCAGCTACTGGGAGGTATAACACAATTTTTCTCTGCGGCACAGGGTCCAGGCAGCCCAGCTTTCCCCTGAAAACAGCCTTCAGGGTCAGCAGATGCACAGGGAAATTCAAGCACCACTTTAGAGGCAGATCCAGCTTCAGGAAAGCTGCTGAAAATTCACTTGAATTATAGTCTTCAGTTTGCCTGCTCTAATATTCACACCAGGTGGGCTTGTGCCACTCTCCAGTTTCACACCACCATCAAACACCACCTAGTAACTCCTCCGGCGGAACAGCTGGATGGCATTTTAACCGAAACCTCCTCCCCTACCAAAAACCCCAAGCCCAAAACACAATAAATGAAACAAAAACCTATCCAAAAATTTCAAAGAATTGATGGAGAGCAAGAACTAGGGAGCTAAAATGTGTTTAAAGCTGTGGCTGGCTCTGGCAGGTTCTAAAGATGGGGACAGCCGCTGTAAGCCAGGGGTTTCATTCATCCCGTAGAGAAAATGTGCCTGGGTTCCTCAGTTGCACTTACAGTTAATTTTGTCACGGTGTAAAAAAAAAAAAAAAAAATTAAAAAAAAAGTCAATAATTAAAAATTATAACAGTATTTAAAGGCTTCAAATGGGAGGTGGGTCTGGTGCACATTTTTTGCATCCAAAAAGTCCCAAGGTTTGGGAGACCAACTCATTTCTCGGTGTTGCACCTGGCTCCGGTACCCGGTATGGGCTGAACCCAGAGCCCAACCCAACACCCAGCATTTTAAAAGCTGAGCTGCACGTGAAGTCCCGTGTCTCTTTTTCCGTGGTGGATTCAAGCTCTGGTTTTGCAGAAGACGAAAAGACATTGAAGTGGTGAATAGAGCGGGGCGGGCAGAGACGCGAGCGTCCCTCCAGGGCCCCTCGGTTGCTTTTCTTGACTATCTGCCCAGGGCAGAACGGTGCCAAATTCATGAAATATCACTTTAGCCTAAACAACAGTTGCTGGAAACATCATCCAGGCATATGATGATGATCAGAAGGGGTTGGTCTATGGGATGGGGCTAGCAGAAACACGCGCCCTCTGAAATAAAACACATCAGGGAGGCTTCCCAGCTCTGAGAGGATGAAATCCCGCTCTAAGTTGAAGCTGCAGGTTTCTGCACAAGCCATACACTTCTTCCCCTGGCTGAAAAGTCCTCAAACCGCAACCAATGGATCTTTGTTCGTGATGCCCATTTTTTGCAGCCCAGAAGTACCTTGCAATCTCCTTTTGCAAGCAGCTGCCGCCCCAAGCACCTCCACGGCTGGGGGTGGGCTCCTCCTCGCTTGCCTGCATGTTTCTGGCG